TTTTTATCCAGTTTCTGAAGCTCAGAGAGGTGAGGCAACTTGACTAAGGTCAGACAGCAAGTTCAGTCACTCGCTGTTTGATGGTATTTTAGCCAGCGATGGGCCACAGGGGTCCCCACGGGCTATGCTAATGCCCAGGTGTGGAGCGACAGGACCATCTAAGGCTTGTGAAGTGCCTCTGAGAAGTTCACAACCATGAAATCGCCTCCTGACACACTGCTCAGAACATATCCCATCATTAAGGGACAAGTGAGTGTCCGTGGTAGCACTGAGAAATCAGGTTTCGCTGATTCCAAAGCTGGGAACTTTCCCCAATACTTTATCTGGCACACAAGCCTACGGTAAATTAAAAACCAGTTGCAATAATTCCTCCATGCCAGTACTCATGCCAATGTAATTAAGAGATGGAGTCTAATTCCCCACCCCTTGAATCTGACTTGGCTGTGTCACTTCGTCTGGCTCATGGGACATTAGTCATCATGACACAAGCAGAGGCTTTAAAGAAGTACTTGTTCTTTGGAGCTGATGCCCTCTTACTGAACATGAGCCCTGAGGTTTCCATTGGAATGAACCTAAGCTGGACTCAGAGGTGAACTGAGGCACCCTGCGAACGCCTGCCAACTTCCAGACACGTGAGGGGGGACCTCCAGGACCACCCAGCTCCAGCTGACTGCACTATGAGAATGAGTCTGGATAAGACCAGAACTGTCCACTGAGCCCAAACAGATGACCAATTCATAGGTTCATAGGCCAATAAATTATTGTCTTAGGCCACTGGGTTTAGGGTGGTTTATTACCTCGCCAAGGCTGATAAGAATACCTGGTGAATATGCATGATGCACATAACACCTGCACACACAGGTATAATAAAGGTACTAAAATGGCCAGAGAAAATCTGTCTGCACCCACACGGCCTCCCGTGGCCCGTCCAGGGCACACTGGCACATACCTAGCCATCGTCACTCATCCCACACACATTTTCACGCAGGCCATTGCTGCTGCCCACGAGTCAGTGTAAAGAAAGCCCTCCTGGGAGGAGTGGACTGGCATGGCCCATGCTATTCATTCTGGCACTGTCCAGAGCAGTGTGGGCATGGAGAAGGACCCTGCAGGCTTTGTTTGGTAAGTGGATGAATAGGCAGAGCGCACGTGATGAGTTAGAGTTTGGCACCCGTGGCAGACGGTGCTGAAGGGCTCCAGTGGGCAAATGGAAAGGCCTGGCCGCAGGCACAGCCTGCATTTTCCTACATCTGAGAGACCATGTGGACAAAAGCATAGAATATCTCCTGATCTTAGAGTTTCCTCACGTGTCCCTGAGATTCGAGTTTTAGAATTGGCCCACTTGTTTCTAAGGGGTGAGGGGGACTGTCCAAAAGCACTTGAAGGGTTTCAAGAAGGAAACTGGAAACACTAAATTATCTTCTATGTGTAACTATGAAGAAATTGAAGCTATCAGAGAATGAAGGGTAGATTAAGAGGAAACGAAAGGAACTTAAAGCAAAGAAGTAGTTACTCCAGGAATAGGGAAGAGTTGCACAAGAAAGGAAGTACAACTGTAATATGAGATTTGGTTTGGCAGGAAATGATATTTATATAGCCACAAAATATTATTCATTTAATGGAAATTATGAGAAAATTTATGAGAAAAGTTCAGTGTCCTTTGATAATAATTATAAAAAGAAAGTCCTCACCTTCCTATATAACATGCATTATTCTAGGCACCCTCTACATTAAATTCTCATTAGCTAACACTTCAAGATTATTACTATTATTACTATCACCGTACAAACGAGAGGACTGAGGCAGAAGGAGCTCAAGGTCCATAAACCCAAGATCACATGGCCAGAAAGGGGGAAAGATGGGACTCACAGTCATACTGTGAAGACAGCAGGCCAGAAGGCTGCTCAGCATTTGCCCAAGACTCACCAAGAACACAGAAGGAAAAACATGTCACATAGAATGCGGAGGAAGGAACCAGAAGGCACAGTCAGGACGGTTGAATGTGGCTGCTTTGGGGAGGCAGGACTGGGAGTGTGACTGAAATGCTCTTCGTTAGTCATATTTAATGCGCATAGACTCACAGGTAGAGCCATGAGATGGGAACGATCTGGGGTGATGGCTTTGCTCTGTATCCTGACTAGAGTCTGGGTTCAGCAAGTACTTGTCTACACTCAGCAAATGGTGCAGTGTATTTTGCTGTATATAAATTTTACCTTACTTAACCCCTAAGAAGGAAGAACTATAAACAAATACTGAACTCCAGCTATGCCCCTGCTAGGCACCTTATCTATATTATATGTACATCTCACATGCTCTGTACACACTATTACACACACCATACAGTATGCACTGTGTGGGGTGCTGTAGGTGCTAAATGAGAAGTCAGCTTACTCTGAAAGCTTCCTAGACGGGTATATACCTGATGAAGCAAATCTAGCAAAATACTGAGAATAGCATATCTGATAGGGATAAAAGTGTTTACTATATAACTTTTCAAGTTTGAAATCTTTAATAAAGTATTGGGGGAAATATATGACTGTATTGTCTGAAAAGTAGTAGAATTTTAAAGCCTGAATGGAGTGCTCTGTCTTGGGCCTACAGGGCTCCCACAGCCCTATGCCCTCCAGTGTACGGCCCACCTGGGGTGCAGCTAACACCTTGCTCTCGCCTATGCACCCCCAACCCTACCCTGGAGTCCTGGAGTCAGGGACCTAATTCCTCAGCCAACCCCCACTCTCCCCAGACAGCGAATGTTAGCAGGTCCCTTGAATGCCTCCAGAGCAGAAAAACAGTGCACCAGGGACAGAAATCAGCCCTCTAGCTACTTCTACCTGCTTCCAAAAGGGTAAACTGAGTCCCACAGAGGGACGGGGACTTTTCCCAGGGCTCCGGCACAACTTCAAGGACAGCAGTGAGCAGCCAGGTTGCCTGGCTCCCAAGCCCACGTGTGTATATAATTAGCTGGTGGGAAATGGATCGGGGAGCAGATCTCAACTCACCTAATTAGAGCCTAGGCAGCTGGGGCCAGGCAGCCTCAGGGCTTGGGGCAGCAGCTGCAGACCCCGGAGGGGCACAGGGGCCCCTGCACTCCCAGTGGAGGCAGAACAATAGAGAGGGGCTGTTTCTGATTATCTGCAAGGCTGGGAGGCTGGGGTAAGGATAGAGGGGTTAGAGAGACTCCTAGCTGCTACCCACAGCCCCACGGATGCTCCCGTGGGAGGCTGGAGGCCCAGAATCCTAGCGAACCAGGCAGTTCCTGCTGGAAAAGTCAAATAAGCCTGGCACCTTCCCTACTACCAGGAATCCCTCCCTGGTCTCTTCCTAACGCACGTCTCAGCTTCTGACACAGCTTCTGGGACAGCACAGGTCTCGGGACAGAGCTTGCGGATCAGGCCTGCTCCACATTATGTAACTAACTATTGATGTGCTTGTCGCTTAGCCGCCCATTCCCTCCCCAGAGACTGGGGCAGGGCCAACATCTGTCTTGCCAGCTGCTGAATACCCAGTATTCAGTGACCAGGAGCAAAGGCTGCCAGGATGGAGAAAAGCGAGAAACATGTTAGGAGAAGCAGGGCGCCAGGCTGCTGATTGGGAGCCCAGCAGACCAGGGTGTGGCCCGAGGCTGTAGTGCACACCCGCCCGCCACTGCCCTCCCTGCATGCAGACAGAAAGCGACCCGTGAGAGGTCACCTCAAAGGTTCATTGAGAGGATGCATGCATGTCCGGGCCCAGCAGGTGAACCTCCTCTGGGGATCCTGGGTCTCGCACCCTCTCAGCCACCAGCCCTATGATCCGAATCTCAGTTTCTTCACATGTGAAAGGCACAAAGCCCACTCTGGGTTTCTGGAGAGCTGGCAGGCCCCACAAGGGCAGTGCTGGGCACAGAATCCTGGCCAGTCACACCCTGCAGGGCCTGCCAGACTGTCCCGGTGCCATCACTCCTGTAACAGGGGACCGTGACCAGCTCCTGCACTGTCAAACCTGTGGCAGGTCATCACCCCCCTTGGTACCTTATCTGGGTCATGGGGTGGGGAGGGTAGACTCCACTCCCAGAAGCTGAAAACCATCGTCTTCCATAACCCAATTTCCCCAACAACCCAGGCCCAGCCCAGTGCCCTGGAAACTGGTTGTGGACTATCACACAGCTGGACTGACCTGGAAGTTTGTCAACAGCCCAGTGGAAATTTTCTCTTTATGCTCAAAATAAAACCTCCATCAAACCTGTCACCAGAGCCTCCACGAGAGCTTCCTGTTTCAGAGAGCAGTAGCTAAGACAGCCTTTGGGAGAGGAAGCAGCTCCCAGCCCCTCCCACCCCTAGGGCAGGCAGAGGCCACCCAGGTTTTCAGCCTTTGTGGGCCCAGCCCAGCCCTAGCCGCAGGTACGCTACCAACCAAGGTGGGGGATCCCTAGCAGGTAACTAACCTGAGAGAAATTGGAAGGCGCGGGGCCCTCCCAGTGCCAGCCGCCTTTCCTCCCAACCCAGGCATTGGTGTCATCCAACTTTCCCGCTGAGGCTGAGGGCAGTGGAGACTGGCCTGTCGGGGGCTGCCCCACCTGGTGATGAGGCCGCGCGTTTTGGCCTGGCTACCCAGTATGTCCCTCTTCCTCCAATCTCCCACTTCCTCTGAACTTGAGGGTTCCAAGTTGGCCCGGAGCTTCCTTAGGAACTGGACAGACGCCCCCCGCCCCCACCAAGGCTGGGGAGGGCCCATGCACTTGTCAACTTTCCTCTACAGAGCTCCTTCCTGTTGTCAGGAAAAGACCCCCAGTCCTCCGCCCAGTTCTATTCTCACTCTGTGGCTGGACCCAGTTTCCTCCTCTTCGAAAGAGGGGCAGCTGCCTCCCTGAGGGGTGTCTCAAGCCACTCCGGCCACTCTGACCCCATGCCAGAACAGGTCCTCGGGTGGACAACTACTGGGTTTAAAAGGCGCTACCCCAAATTCCTCCCTCCCTATCCTCCTTAGGAACACAAAACAGTCTGATGGGCCAGTCCTTGAAAAACAAGCATGGGTGTTTATTAACCAAGAGGAGGGCAGTCAGCAGTGCAGGCTGCCAGCCAGTCCCTCCTACAGTCCCCGCTCCTTGGCCACGTTGCCAAAAACCAAGAAGTGGGGTGGGCAGGCCACCCCTCCTTCCCTCAACCCCAGGGTGAGTTCCAGGTAACCAGGGCCCACTGAGCAAGAAAAAAGAAGTCAGCAACTGACAGAGGCCCAGGAAGGAAGAAGGAAGCAGAGCCACAGGGTAGAGGCCCGGGGAGACGACTTGGTCCCTCAACCTCAGTGATAAGGGCTAAGTGCCCAAAATCCCAACCCAAGCAGGGGTACACTCATGTCAAAGCCCCTACGGATGAGGGGGAAGGCAGAGGGCGTCCGAGATCGAGGCAACTTCTCCAGGGTCAGTCTTTGCCAGATGGATGCTGGTCCGGCCTCTGAGCCTTTTCTTCCACACCAAGTTCATACAAGGCAGCAGGCACCCACCCGCCTCAAGCCAGGGGAAAGGCACAGGAGGGCCCAGGAACAGCCTCTCCAAGGTCTGTCTGGGGGTGAAGACCGAATCCAGAGTCGAGCTAGCCCTCAGCTGCTGGGGTCTCCCTTGCCTGCCGCAACCCATACAGCCATTTGATGACACGGGCATTGCGTTCTACCACCGACACACCGTAGGGGACCCGCTCCTGTGCCCGCTCCTCAACAGTGGCAGAGCTACGGTGCGAGCAACCCCCTTCAGAGCTGCCCGGCCCAGCACTGGGTCCAGCCAGGGACACGATGTCTGAGCTGGCCCTCGCCAGGTGGGTCACCCCCAGCCCCTGTGCCTCCTCTGGATCCAGGCCACAAAAGTTAAAAAATCGCTCAAGGTCAGCTGCTGCCCTTGAGAAGCGCTCACTCAGGTCCGACTTGGAGCGTTGCAAACCCGGGGTCCTGGCTGGGCTGGAGGCCGTGGTGGTCCCTGGAGACGGGCAGGGCTGGGCAGGTGAGGCAGGGAGGGGGAGGACATCGACGCGGCGGACTGCAGCAGTACTAGGTGGCGGGCGTGGGGAGGTGGCTGGGGGCGCCTGGTGGGCTCCCTCTGCCCGTCCAGGGGTGTGGCTGACCTCAGCAGGGGACACGGGACTATCACACAGGTTGATGAGGCTGCTAAGGATGTCCAGGTCCAGCTGGGGTCGGCGGCCGGGGCCAGGTAGAGCTCGACGGCTAGGAGTGAGCACCGTGCAGTGAGTCCCAGGGCTGAAGAGTGGCTGCTTGGACAGCAGGGGCTGTACAGGCTCTTGGCGAGTGTTGGCCACATGCAGGCTCTTGACGTACTTGGCTTTGTCAGCCTCCAGGCGCTCCACAGCACTAGGTTTCCGGGCCCCACCATCTGCCGGGCGCCTCAGCAGGTAACCAGGGACCTTAGTTCGCAGGCGAACCGCAGGGGGGTCTCGGGTTCCAGGAGTCAGGGTGTCCACAGGCATGACTGGTACATACCCTGAGGGCTTCGATGTAAGGAGACTGGAGAAAGGAGGAGACTGAGATCAGAAAGAAAGTTGGCAGCTGGACACCAGCAACGGCCGCTGGGAGAAGAAAGGCGAGGGGCAGAGCTTGCTCCCAGACAAAGGCTCCTGCAAAGACTGAAAGAGCCCAAAGGAGCCTCGCTGTTAAGAGGTAAAGGCCACGCCTCTTATTTGCAGGGGCCAGTCAGCAGGCAGAGGCGACCAAAGAAGTGCCTGTGGCTCCACCCACACCCCCACCCTCCTTAGAGGACGGGACCCGAAGAGGCTGAGAAAAAAGGTGCCAAAGACAAGAGCAAAAAAGACAGGACAGACATGCTTTTTAAAGGAAGCAAAGTGGACTCTCAGGCCGTATGCTAGACACCAGGGCTTAGCCTCCATAGTGCTCTCAGCAGCTCCAGTTTGCAGACAGGGAAACAAGCCCAGGAGCAACCACGTTAGGAAGTTAGCCCGCAAGGTGGAGACTGCCCCCGGCCTCCAAGCAGGGAGGTGCTGGTGCAGGGGTCTTGGGGCTAGGCGACCAGAAGCAATACCATGCCTCAACAGGACGGCCCACGGAGAGCCTAGTACCACCTCCACCTCTCATTTGACCTGGCAGGAAGCTGCCCTATGCCAACCACCCGCCCAGACATGCCAGGCCCCAGGCACAGCAGCAGAGCTTGTTGGGGAGGAGTGCAGAAAATCCCCATCCCCGCCCCAGCAGAGTTGAGACACCCGTCAGCTTCCAGTACGGGTCTCCAGCGCCAGGCCCACAGCGAGCCGCAAATGCCTGTCAAGCGGAAACCTCAGCCCTGAGCTATGTTGCCCCAAGTGGAGCTGGAAATGCCCAAGATCACACAGTCCTGCTTGGCAGCATCCAACAGACTTACTGACCTGCCAGCAGCTAGAGGAGGGACACCCACAGGCAGGATGGGTGCACACGTGATCACCTGTGCACCAGGGCCTGGTGTCCCAACATCATGCCACCCCATCGCATTTTCCAAGAAAGGGCTGGGCTCACAAACGCCACCCACCCCAGCCAGCCTGGAAATGGACCAAAAGAGAACCCATAAACCAAGTTCCGAACCTCCTCATCTATAAAACAGGGATAGAGGACTTTATCAAGAGGATCTCCAAAAGGCCTTGTAAATCAGTCCACCTAGATCTGTGTTGCCTTATTATTTTTAAAGATTAGGTTAACTTATTTATGCATACAAGAAACTGGGGTATAGGTCAGAGGTATGGGAAGTGACAGGACCCACCAGAGACAGAGCATAACGGGGGGATTGACTGAAATACACCCCTGAGGGGAGCAGTGGGCGAGACAGGAGAGGGCTGCTGCACCATGTGGGTCACTGGCCTGGCCGGGATTGAACTTGTGCTGCAGTGGCTGCTAAGAGCTTCATAGTGCTGCCTTTAAACCCTTATGCCATGAGGGAGGCCCCCCTCAGTCTTAACTTTAATGAAAATTAAACACTTATTCAGTTCCTGGTTCTCGCTAGCCACATTTCTAGTGCTCAGCAGCCACATGCAGCCAGCAAGGATTACAACATTTCCATGCAGAGTGGAAAAGTTAAATTTTAAGTCTTGCCTAGGCTTCCAGAATTCATGCAGGGAGACCTGGGTTGGGGAAAAAAGATAGCTGGGACATCTATTGTGCCAGACACTTGATACCATCCTCTGCTCTGAATCTCCAAACAGCCCATGAGATGGCTCACTGTCAGCTCATTTTCAGAGATGGAGAAACAAACTCAGAGAGGTGACCGGACTAGGTCCCAGAGCCAATTTACATTGAGACCCCATTTGTTCATCTATTAATTTCATGATAATTTTATTCTTTCCTATTACCACTCCTCTAAAAATACCAGCTCCATGAAAGGCAGGGGATTTTTGTTCACTGCATCTCAATTCAAAATATTGCTCTAGACACATAATCAATTCACTTATTGAATGGTGTACCCATGGGGTGGGGCAGTAAGAAATGGCAAATGGGAATAAACTAGAGAAGGCAGACCCAGGCTACCAAGACGAAATGTGTAGAAGTCCCAGGAGGCTGGAAATTCAAAAGTATGTGCAAAGTCTAGATTCCTACTCTTGGCGTGCCCACTGGTAGTTTTGAAAACATGACAAATGTGGAGCTAACATATCCACCCCCTCCCACACACACACCGGCCCCCAGCCAGGTCGGAGACCTCTATAGAGACCGCACGATGGCACGTTGAGAAGAGAAGCTTGGGCGGTTGGTCCAGAGAGCCAGAGCCACTCCGCGGCCAGGAGATGCAGTAGGTGGGAAAGGAAGGCGTCCTTCGCTCAAGCCGAGCCCCCAGGAGACCTCAGCCCGGAAGGCAGACAGGAAAGGCCGTCTGGCACTGCGCCCCACCCGGCCGCCGCCTCCCAAACCAGTCCGACCCGTCTGGGACCGACCACGGTCCCCTCCCGTCACCCTCCGGGGAGAGAGAGGGAAGGAGGTCAGATGGGCAGGGCCGGGCAGAAGCCCCGCGCTCCCAGCTCAGCCCGGCTGTGGACCCCAGGGCTCCTCCGGCGAGGCAGGGACAGATGCGGGCTGCCCAGCCGCTGCCCGGCGCTGGCACCCGCGCGGGGATCATCGCCAGCAGGCTGCGAGCCTTGCGCCAGCAGCTGCCGCCTCTCTCACAGACTTAATTTCCTTATCTATGAAAAGCAGTTAAAAATAGACCTTCCTGAGCCTGCAGGTCACTGAAAGGGTGGAAGATGAAACAGGCCGGGGACTGAGCACCTGGCCCCGAGCCTGCGCTATCCCCCCCCCCCCGCGGGTTATTTACTTTTTATTATGATTTTGAGGACCCAGCTCCGAAGGGCGCCCACCCCCCAGGGGTCTCTAAGCAAGCCCCATGGGTCTGACGCAGTCCAGAGCCGCGAACAAAGGAGCACAGGACAGAGGCTACCCGGTAAGCTGACCACAACAAACCCTGTCACTGACCGGCAAGAGGAGGCACGGGCTTCCGCAGGGTTCCTCGGTGGGCCTCAAGGTCCCCTGAGGCCTCCTCTCCACATTCAACGACCCACCTACGGGTTTCAAACACCACCCACAAATGGCCTTAAAGCACTGGCCCGGCCCAGGCCCTTCCTGTTGGCGGACCCCAGGCCTGCAGCCCCACCTGGCCCCTTCCACACCGGCTCGCTCGGTATCAACCTCAGGAGGTGGCGGCGGGGAGGAGTTTGTTCCTTGCCGTGCCCCTGCCCTTCCCGGCCTCAGGGTAATTTGGGGGGCGCCCAGTAGGGGAGGAGTCCGAGAGCCCAACAACCGACAGCGGTGTGGCATGCGCCCTAGATGGGCCCTGTCGGGGTCCAGTCGGCCTGACTTTGAAATAAGGGGGCTACCAGCACGATGCCGGTGTGTCACCCAGACAGGAACGCGAGCCCCTGCCAAGCCCCCGCTGTCCCAGGAAGGGCGAGGTGCCTGGGCTGCGCCCCGACCCGAACGGCCACCTCGCTCACACGTACCTGACAGGACCCGCGCCCCGCCGCACTGAGCTCCTCCCGCCAGGCCCACCTGGGGCTCAGGTAACTTGCGCTTGCGCAACTTCCGGCGGCCTGAGGGGAGCAGGTGAACCGCCGGCGCAGGTATTACCCGAAGAGGGAAAAGGAAAGCCTGGCAAGGAGCTGCCAGAACCTAGTCCAAGCGCGCCGCCGGCCGTCCGTCGGCTGGGGCGCGGGCGAGCTTCGCGACTGATTCGCCGACTGATTCGCCTGTTCTAACCGGGAAGCTCTTCCGGGGGCTGGCGCCCGCCCACTGAGCAACTGGACTGGCCACATCCACACCTCTGGCTCACCAAGTCCTCACAGCCCACTCCAGGCTAGGCACATCCAACCCAGAGATGGAAAACCCGAGACCCCCCTCCCTCAGTCACAAGGACTGCCCATTAAGATTCACGTGCCAGCACCAAAAAGTTGTTTTCCTGGTTGTTTAGTCCATTTTGAACTTCCCAAAACCCCCTTCCGACCAAAGGAAAAAGGAGGTTGGGATGGTGAGTTGGCTGCCTGACACTGGCCCAGGAGTCCGACTTGGACACCTTACCTCCAGAACTGGCCCTATCCCGCCTGGCGTCTGGGCAGGCTGCTGGACCTCTCTGGTTCTCTACTCTGCCGGTACAGGACCTAAGGGCCCAAGGGTGCCCACAGAATCTCTGTGCAGCTGTAAACATTAGTAGTCACAGTAACAATAACGATGAAGATTTCATGTGCCAGGCACAGCACTTATTTAAATCTCTCGATGCCCTCTGCACTGGTGAGGAGGCTGCAGCCCTTCCTGCAGGAAGGAATCCTAGGTGGGAGGTGATCCTCTCCGCTGCCAGCTGAAGCATATTAAGTCACTGCAGGTGTCATTTTGATTGGGCCAGTTTCCCTGGGGTCCTGAAGCCCAGAAAAGGAGATGCTCACCTGAGCCCTGGAAAGGCCAAGCAGGCCCAGTTCCAGTTCTATATCTGTGCCTGGTCGGTCTGACTACACACCAGGGCTGGGAGGGGAGATAGGAAGTGACTCAGGGAGCAGCTTTCCTTCCTCCCCTGGGAGTGAGTCAGCCCTGAGGCCTCCTCTAGTCCCTGGAGCCTGATTTTAGAGGGATCATCCCCCTACGGTGACCTGCTGGGTCCCTGCCTCGCCCTCCATTGAGGCAAAAGCTCTTTTATATACATGCACTCACTTAACCTAACCCTCACACCCACCCTGTGAAGTAGTGGTGTCCTTGTTTTACAGTTGAGGCACAGCAGGTGAGGCCACTTGCCTGAGGTCAGATGTTAAAGGGCAAAGCCAGGATTTGAACCAAGGGTCTGGAGTAAGGGAGGGAGTATAGAGTAGACAGTCTCAGGGCTGGGGTCACCAGAGAGCTCCTTAAGAATCTATAGCCTCCCTCTCGGGACCCCAAAGTGAAAAGCAAGTCAGCGTAAGAAGTACTCCCTTGCTATGCTTCTGGTCACCAGTTTTATCAGCCATCAGTGGGGATATGTTTTCCCAACAGAAATCAGACCTCATCACTGCTCTCCT